TCGGTCATTTCCATCAACACTGAGATTCCCTCACTACATGTCACCGTCCATCTAGCGTGGGGTACCCACACTTCCTGGCACGCTCCTGTCAAACGAGAGGTTCCCGCACTACTGCAGTCGCCCACGTATCAGGCCCTGGGTCCGAGGAAAGCCTCGGTCCCGCCCGCTACTCAAACCGAACGTCTTAGGATCGCGGACCGGCGTCGCGCCTCTCGCCCTGCTGTCGACTTCGTCCGGGCAACCGCCGCCACCTCAGCCCATTCTGTAGTTCTGCTAGCCTGGCTCCGCACAGTTCCAGCCCAGCAGCCGGACACCAACCCTACTTCGCCCGCTCTCAGTGTCTTTTAATAGAGGATTTTAACACATTTACATTTAGGGTTATTATTAACATATAGGGACTTATTACTGCCATCTTGTTGCTTCTTTATCATTGTTTTTTTAGACCCCTTTTTCCTTTTTTTCCTGTCTTAATGCCTTCTTCTGTGATGAAGTGACTTTCCCTAGTAGTATATTTTGATTTCACCCTATTTATTTTTAGTATATCGATTATAGGTTTTTCTGTTATGCTTACCATAAGACTTAAAAAATGTCATAACAGATTGTTTTAAACTAATAAGTTAACTTGGATCTCTAAGAGAAAAAACCAAAATAGAGTGTATGCCTTAATGTCATTCTCCCCCCCCCACCTTGTAATATTTTGTCATTTCAAGTTACATCTTTTAATATTGCCTGTCTCTTCAATAGTTGTTGTAATTGTAATTATCTTCAACATGTTTGTCCTTTAGTCTTCATACTAAATATATTATAAATATGTAAGTGGTTTATTCACCACATTTACAGCACTGGAGTATTCTGAGGTTGACTATGTACTTACTTTACTAATGAGTTTTATACCCTCAAATGTTTCCTTGTTACAGTTTAGTGTCTTCTTGTTTCAGATTGCAGAACTCCCTTTAGCATTTCTTGTCGGGCAGGTCTAGTGTTGATGAATTACTTTAGGTTGTGTTAATCAAGAAAGTCTTTTTTTCTCCTTCATCTTTGAAAATTAGTTTTGCTTGATATAGAATTCTTGGCTGACAGTCTTTTTCCTTTAGTACTTTGTATATATCATCCCACTTTGTCCTGGCCTGTAGCTTTCCTGCTGAGAAATTCACTGAAAGCCATTTTGAGGCTCTGTTGAATGTTATGTTTCTTTTCTCTTGCTCTTTCAATATTCTTCTGTTGGTGTTTTTGTTTGTTTTTTGTTTTGACAGCTAGACTGTATGAGGATCTGAACCCTTGACTTTGGTGTTATCAGCACCATGCTCTAACGGAG